TTTTTTTCTGAATTTGATACAACTTCGCACCATTTGTTTGGTCTTACCTGTCTTCTAGTTCCTTCCAAAGTTCAGAGGAATTGTTGACATATTCAACATTGTCTGCAATCTCTTTTGTAAGAGAGTTCAAAATCCATGAAGTAACCATATCATCACATCTCTGCCATTGACGAGATTGAGAGGGATCAACTGGCTTCACACAGCTTCCATCAATGAAGACTAGCTTGTTCTTCACAGATAGAGCTTGCAGTATGCCTCTTCTCCAAGATCTGTATCCAACTCCATCAAATTGAGTTGGAACAAGTGAGATTCCTGGATTATCTGAAGGGTGGACATAGAAAACACTGCTTGTATCAATTCTAGTAGCAGTTCCTTGAGTAGTGGCTTCAGTCATGATGGATCAACGAATTGACAAACAACAAAAATAGATCGAAAATAGACCTTGATGATGAAGAAACGAGAGAAATCAACCTCGCTCTGATACCATATCAACACTCACTGCATCAGTGAGTAAAAGTGTGCAATGCAGCTTCCTATGGACAGCTAGCCATTAATGGTGATTAACGAAGAATGAGAAGAAGAGAATGTTTGTGAATTCTTCCAGGCCAAAAACTGCCCTTCCATACATCAACAATACACTATAAACATGTGATTGAGAATCATCTAGAAAGGAATCAAAAATGTAACTAACTAAATAACTAACTAGTGTAACTAACTAACAGAATTTGTTAATACACTATTAAGCTACTGTTAACATAGATAATTAGTTGTAATTCTCAATAGAACTTATCTGAATCTTTTATTTAAATATTCAAATAATGACATATTTAAATTGAATATTTCAACTCCTAATAAATTGTTTCAATTAGACACTTTCAGTTCAAATTTGTAACAATTTATTTGCGTCTTTTTATTTGTCTATTATATAATTAAAATAAAAGGTAGTCTAATCTAAAGAATTTGTTATGAGGTAAAGTGTTGAATGAAACATGGCTTAGTTAGCAAGTTAATTTTGTATTAGGCCAAAATAATAACCTCTATTTAAATAATAAAGCAAATAAAGAAAGCATAATATCGAACAAAGTCTTAAACCGCATGACCAAATAAGCGCATAAATAACTAAAATAAAAATTTGATATTGGTAAGAAAAACCTAAGTTAGAATATCAATTTAAAGGTACAAACTTTATGCTTCTCAAAAGCAGATTATTTAAATGCATGTAGATGCTTTAGCCAAAAATGATGAATGACATGGATGCACCTAATATTAAAAACAAAAATAAACTCAAGCAAGATATTTTAAATCCATATATTATATTTTTCACGCAATAATCTAATGTAACTTATTTGGAAATCAAACAATCTCTTGGGCTTTTTGGCTAAAATTCAAGAAAGGAATTGACAATGTGACTAAATTACACATAATGAGAATAAAAAGCCATATCAATTTCATCACAAAGAAACAAAAAGAATAAAAGTGTAATAGCTAAACTAGCAGTACCATGACCCTAGTTTAGGTCAAATTCATAATGATTAGTCGGCCCAATGTGGGTTAATTGAAAATAGGGTGACTGCTAATAAAAAAATTACCTACAATCTGCATTTCTACGGATAGAATTCACTGAATTGTGAAATTCCGCCTCTATATTCCAAAGTCCTTTTAAAGTTATTTCTCAACCTCTATTATTGAATATCAAACACACAAAGCTTCTTGTTTTCAAAACAAGTTGCAACCTTTGTACTTTCCTTGTTCCAACACATTTCAAAAATACCGTCATCGCCATTATAAGCTTTTATAATCTTGGCCTCCTTCACTAACCATATATTCATGTATTTATCCAATGACCCACTTTCCATGTATTCACCATTCATACTTAAGGCAACAAAGCAAAAAACTTCTCTAGATTCAAAATGGAAGAGCGTATATTCTCATTCCACCTCCCCTCACTCTGTCAATAACAATACCATTCAACAAGAAGGAATATAAGAAGGACGAAGGAATATGACCTCTCAATTAGAACCTTACAGCAAATTGAAATTTAATAGATTTTCGTATTTTTATTTTCATATGATCGAGAGATGTGAACTACTTCGGTACAAACTTACTAGTTATTTAGAGTATAATTCACTAACTATGCCTACAAGTGTTTTTACTTGGGTGGGTGAATTTATAGTGATGGATCGGGTGTACATATCCTGTGATGTCCTCTTGATATTGCAGAATGCTTGGATAGCTTTGGTGATCTCATATGTAGTAGATTTCGTGTTGCACTAGGCAGTTGAAGTTTTTGAGTACCTTTATGTTTACTATCTTGTTTATGAGAATTTATGGATGAACTACCATGAGTATTTTCATTTGTCGTGTTAGTTTTAGTATTCATCTAGTCGTTTAGATCATGATGTGTGGTTGAATGTAGGGATCATTGGGTCTAGTTCTATTGTTCTTAAGTGTAGTCTACAGTCACATCTACTGATCTAGCATTTCGACAGTGTTGTTAGAGATTTTGTATGCATAGGTGTATTGTTTATTGGGTGGTTACTTGATAATTTTCTTCTTTGGATTCGATAAGTTAAGCACCTGATGTGTAAAGATTATATTTTTATACATTTAGCTCGTGAAAACATTTGTGAGGAAGGAATCTTGAGGATCTCTTATAGGTTGTGCATTATGAGTTTGTGGTGGTCGACTAAAGTTCACTTCTGATTATAGCTGGTATAGATTCAGATTGTTATCTTGGTTATGTGTCCAAAGATTCGTCATGATGGTTGTGTTAAGGTCTAATGAGTTTTTGTTTAGATTGAGTTCATGGGTTAGCCTATGGCTTGATAATCACCTATAATTTGTAGATCTATCATATTTTGATTTGAAAGGTCAGTTCTTAATAGTTTTTCTTGATGAAATGGTTTTAAAGAGGAGCTCACATAGAGAGATGAACACCAATTGATAGGTCATAACTTAGACTTTTGGTAACGTCGGTTATGCTTCTTTCCTCTTCTTTATGTTCGAGGATGAACATGATTTTTAGTGGTGGATAATGTAGTGACCCGAAAAGTCATTTTTATAAATTTTGAACTATTTGTTTAACTTTAGAGAATTAGTTGATGGGTAATTGTAGATATTTGACTTAATCGATAGTTATGAAATAAAGTGATTATTTATTTAAGAACATATATTTATTATAATTATTTACTGGAGTTTGTCACTGTAAATTTACAATTATTATTATTATTCTTTAAAGAAATAAAAACTACCCTAAAAAGTGTGTGCTTGCCGCATCTGCAATGAAGAGGACGACCTCCTGGTAAGAAAATTTTCATGTGTGTGCCTGCATACAATTATTTTACTGCTGTATATATAAAAGATATAATTCAATTCTTATTAAAAGAGATTAGATAAGAAGTGTAGGTTTTAAAGTTAACGAATCCGTAGTGTTTCAAAGTTTATCTGGGGCAAGGTTTTAATGTACACAATCATTAACCAATGATAATAAGGGGTGAGGAATTAACTGATGAGTGATGGTTAGCAGTAATTTAGTAAAAAATGATTTTCAATGAATAATATACTGATTGGGTTACATCATTAGTGGGTAATGATGATATTAATTATTAGTGTGTGATGTTTTGTGAATGATTTGAAAGACTTATTATCTAATTGTTTATGTTGTATCACGGTTGTATTGTTGTGATGTGTGCATTGGTATTAAAATGGTAATCTTCTCATTATTTTTATGAACGTATCATTTACATTGATTTTGAGATATGATTGTGAAAAGTGTTATGTGACAAGAGGATATATCATTTTGACAGACATATGGTGTGCCGCGGTGGATACTATATTTCGAGGGACATACCATGTGTCACGAGTGGTAACTATATTTCGAGAAACCTATGAACACCATGATGGATACTATATACTGAGGGTCATATTGCACGCCACAATAGATACATGGACAGATATGTCTCCAATTTGTCCCAGACTAAAAGACAGCGGGTGTGTATCGTTAGGGTGGACATGCATCACTATACTTGACATTGCATTTAATTGCATTGCACATTTTTAGCATTGCTAAACTTTATATTGTGTGTTGTGATCTTGTGAGTGTCTTTCTGTGGAACTTTGATCGATGAATATTGAGCTTGTTGTTGAGAAATATTAGAGTGTTGTTGTTAAGTTGTGTGCTATGTGCATTATCAACTGTTGGGTTGGGATAATTTTAAGAAGGTTGTAGTTGTGGGGTTGTATTATAAAAATTTCAGCATTTTATTGTAATGGTATAGTTTTAGGCTTACACACTATAACATTTTATGCCTATGACAACGTCAGTAAAGTGTAGCCTAAGCAATCAAAATGTGTGGCCTTTGGTAAAAGGCTACACATTTAGACTTTAAGCAACACTTTTCCAGGGGTGGCTGAAAGAGGCATTACCTTAGAGTTTAGGCAACACTTTAGTGTTACCTTATCAGCTACGATTAAAAGCATAGCCTAAAAGGCAAAATAGTCAAGATTTTGTACCTACGCTTAAAAGTGTTGTCTTATCAGCTATGCTTAAAAGCAAAGTCTACGCTTAAAAGTGTTGCCTTATCAGCTACGCTTAAAAGTGTGGCCTTTTCTTCTATATTGTCCACGATTTTTATGTGTTTCATTTTATATATTAAGTGTGGTAATATTATGTTTTCTATAAAATATTTAGGCCAAACTCATCAATAAATCCCTAAACGTGTTGGGTTTTTTCTTCAAGTACCTTAAATATGTCATTTTCCTATTGAATCATTGAATCACCCATAATTTGTTCCTTTTAAACACTGTTGGTTAATTTTGATCGAATTTTCTATTGTAAATTCCTTCAATTGTGCTCGTGTTGTAATGATTCTGATTGAAAAAATGAATATAAACTATGTTCATCTCATTTGTTTTCTAATGTGTTCAAATGACTTGAAGTAAAAAATACAATTATTCTCGAATATTTTCACTATCAGTTGGACTAATGAGTTTTAAAACTACATATCTATCAATATCCTTACAAAATCTGGTTCTACGTAAGCCAATGATATTTAAAAAGAACAAATTATTGATGGTTCAATTATTCAATAATAAAATAGCATAGTTGAGGTACCTTAGGGGAAAAATGCAACAAGTTTAGGAATCTGCTTATGTATTTGGCCAAATATTTATGTGCCTCAATTTCTAATTAAAAACACCAATGTTTATGTTCTTCAATGAATAATCTCAAACATTAAATTAGGTAATAAGTAATTCAATTATATGAATTTGCAATAAACTTCAAAAGATAGTATGTCTTGTGTACATACACATACGTATAAAATAATATTCTAATTATATGTGTACACGTAAATAGTTTAAAAAGTAATCTTACAATAGTTCAATATAATGTATTCATACTTTTATAATAGTTCTAAAACTTCAATGAGATCAAATTGACCTGTGGAGATCGTTCAATTTGATCACCACCATTTTTCTACAGAATTAAAATAAAATTAATCGTCAAAACAAACCAAAAACTCAGAGACTGAATCACTGGCAATAACATTCAATTTAAAAGTGCAAAAAATAATAATGTTGCAAAAAGTTTAGTCCACTCATACTTGGAACTGCCACATTAGTGGACCGATGCAATGTGCTTAATCAGGTCCACTACTTATGTGTTGCAATTAGAGCTAGTAAAAACATAAGCGAACCCCTGGTTGGAACCCAGGCGCCCCCCCCCCCAGCCCATTTTTTGTCATACAAAGAAACAAGCTTCACAAAGGTCTTGATCAAAGCAAATCAAGCCTTGGCGTCAAAGATACTTGATCTGCAAATTATATTCATTTGAATTACAAATCATCCAAATTACCACTTTGATTCTCTAGTCTGGTTTACACATGGTCACTACAAAAGGAATTTGCAGGGCAAATGCATACGTATAAACCAGTACAACAAGAATAGAAAAAATTGATTAATAAATTGAAATTCAATTCTTCAAACTGGAAACAAGTCGAAATAGGAATTAGTTAACAAATCATATATAATTTTATAAAAATATATCAAAAACTCGAAAGACATTTGAATCGATGATCAAATACTTAGAACTTAAGACTTTCCTTATGACCTACCTCAAATTAATCTACTAACCTGGGTCAATGTATCTGTACGACCTACATGACTTGATTCTCTTGGAATTGACATCAACCTCCTTTGCGGAACCCAAATCAGAAACTCGTGCTGAAAATTACCAATCTTTACAAATGTCCTGTGGTAACAACACTTCTATTTCTTTTTCCATAAATATTTTAATGAGTATCAAAACGTTCTACCAAAACATTAAAGATGTGACATTAAACATATTAAGTGTTGGGCGGAAATAGAAAACACATTTTAGTGATATTACAAGGGAAGTGATAAAAACTAAATAAATAAGTTCATAGTTCATGTTGATAAGATCTTTGTTGCACACAGAAACTAAACTGTAACCAGGGAGGTGATAGAAATATACATCTAGCTGGCAAGATGAAACAATATACACCTCCATGCGTTTGTGTAGTGCCACCTTCATCAACATGAACCTGTGTTCCCTTAACATGCAAGTGATACAAGCATCACAAAATAAGCTATAATAGGAATGACATAAGGCTAAAGATAGGAATATTTATTAACTGATAAATATGTCCAGCAACACTTTCCTCCATAGATTCAAGAAAAGAACCAACAGATTGTCACCAAGAGGAAAGGTCAGTGATACAGTAAAGTCATTTTTCTAATCATCCTGAATGAAATTCTCTGCTTTTGTGCCTTTCTCTTGCAGCTGCATCCCCTTGAAACATATTCTTGTAAGCTGGTGGGAGTACGGAAAAAATGAAGCTCAAAAACTATTACAACAAGTCCTGCCTCTTACTTATAGAATCTACCAAATATAAATGAACCCTCGTCTTTCAGCGATAGGCTTGACAGGGGATGCTAGGTTATAATGCAATATCATGAATCCTACAGCTACATGCATATCCTACACTAAAAAGTGAATAAATCCATATAAAAAAATAATCCCTCGTAATTCAAAAAAAATACTCAGACTAAATTCTGTAAATGAGATCACATCGATAATACTTACTAAGAAGGCTTGCATTTTTCTGTACATATTTACTTTGAAGTGTTGTTTAAGGAGAATAACAGACAATCACATGGTTAATAGTGAATGTTAGGAGAGGGGACATGTCTGAAAAAGATCTCTGCATTCAGAACAAGTGACTATAAGTGAATGTTTGGCAACACGGTCATAAACTGCTTACAAAGAAACAAAACTACTAACGAAATGTTGCAAGGAGAACACAAAAACATGACAAAAATTGTAATCCTCATAGCAACATCAAAAGGGGATATTTTTATGTATTGACAAAGTGGAGCTGGTCATTACGCAAAATGAAAATCAAATTTTCTTCGTTACTTGAAATGAAAAAATTCTAGCAAATCTGGATATATAACATTATTCTTTGGGAGTACAGAGAGATTCTTGAAAGAGATATAACGTTGATAAAGAAAAGTCTTACCCTAAAAAGGATTTTATTCCTTTTTAATAGGATTTTTTAACCAAATTAAGTCATTATATAAAATAATTTATCAAAGTAATATATTTTTCTAAAATTTTACAAAACTAGTATAAACGTATTTCACGGTAACGTTTTAGGGTATATTTTATTTTTTAAAAACTAACAACATTAGGTTGATATAAGTTACTGGAAGTAACGTTTTACTCTTAAAACGTTATTTTCAGTAACGTTTTACTCCTAAAACGTTACTGTGAGTAACGTATATCAATCTGACGCCATCAACTTTTAAAAAATAAAATATATCCTAATACGTTACTGTGGAATACGTTTATACTAGATTTGTAAAATTTTAGAAAAACATATTATTTTGGTGAATGGCTTTATATAATGGCTTAGTTTGGTTAAAACCTCTTTTAATAGTACCCATTTGTTTTAGTAGGTTTGCATTCGTTTTCCGTTTTGTGCCAGATTTTTTAGGGAAAATATTAATCACAGTTCTTTTATTGAAGGTAATATCTTAGTCTTCAATTTGGGTCAATGTACACAAACATACATGGTACAATGTAGACTGAAGAACACAATAGAACAGTAACAGAAGTAAAACACTGTACTAAACACGTACCAATAGCACAACCATGGAATGGCCAAGAAAATTATCTATCATAAAATGAGAAATGGTAATTAGTATAGGGATCAGGTGGATAATCCCACCTTTTTGATGCACATCTGCGCTCAGGTCGTTAGCTGTATAATCTCTTTAAAAGCATCCTGCTAAAACTTTTGTAAAAGTAATTAACAAGGCAAAATTATGAGCAACACCAGAAAACACAAACTATTATTAATGTTTTGGTAGACAGACCAGAAAATGCCTTTCACTCTCATCACTTTCTCAATACGTATGATATATTATTACAACCCCCGGGGTGGGGGAGGGACTTGTATAACATTTCAGGAAGAAACCTCTAAAAGTGATATAAAACACTCTACATGCGATTCTCTACAATATCTAATTATAGAAATAACATTTATATTGTTCTAAAATCTTCAATATTTTTTACAGTATCTGATCACTGATAAAAAAGAAATTAATATTTCAAAATTTTCATACAAATCTATATAAGAAAAAGGCTTGAGTTTCCCCATTTTATCAGCTTACTTTGCGAACAAAAGGTTCTTATGAGTTTTGCATTTTCGGATGCTGAGGAAGAATGAATCATGTTGTTGAATTACCTGATCCTATGAGTGCTGAGAGCTGCATCCAGGATACTTCCCTTGGATTGACTTGGGAAACATCACCGACTGATTGAGCATTGGATCAACTTAATTGAATTAGCCTGTGACAAATTGAACAAAGGTGGTGAAGTCTTTTTTAAAATGTAATTAAGTAAATTTTGGACCAAATTAAAATTTTAAAATTTTCTAATCTTTTATAATATAAAAAAAAAACATTTCTTCTATAATTCAATCCAAACCATTAAAAAGGCATTCCTTCTTCTTCAAGGGTTCCTTCTTTTGTTCTTCTTCTTCCTTAGAAATTCGACTATCTCCATTATCTTCCTCTCCAACTATTTTCATTATTTTCCTCTTGATCACCAATCATGACTCTGTCCTCCTTATGAACTGAAATTGTCTTTGACGTATAAATGGGTAAGTTATTTTTTGAAAATATTTTACAATTTCTAAACAATGCTAAATTTTTTTCTTAGATTAATGAACAATAAATTGTTCTATAGATGTAAAAATTGAATAATGATGTTATGGTGACTATTATTTATTGTTTTTGAAAGAAAATCAACAAACCCAAAAAAACCCTAATTTTGAGGATATATTTATTTATTATTAACATTTATTGAAAAGTCTCTTTTTGTTACTTTTGTTATTCTTTTTGTGGCCATTTTGTTGATATAATTTTAGAAATATAAATATGTTCAGTTGTCTTACATATATTTCATTTGTTGAAAGATGTATCATATGCTGCCACATTTGAGTTATATGTTGGTGCCTATTCAAACAGAGTTATCATATGTTGTAACATCTCACTTATGTGTTAGGGCAACAAAATGGTCATATGAGACAACATAAGATTCACTTGTGGCAACAGAAAATTCAATTGCAGCAACGGTAGCTACATCTGTTTCAACATAAGATTTATATGTGACAACATAAATTTTAAATTTCATATCTGACAACAGCAGGTAAACAAATTATGGCTAAAACCCATTTTCATTTTTCACTGAAGTGAATATTTCTAGTGCCCTTAACGGGTTCTTTTGATTTTTTAGTACAGTGGCAACATGGTTAGGAAGTATAATAGCAGTTATTGCTTGATACCAAATCACTACAAGTCAATTATATGAATGTTACTCAATTCAGGTCTCTGAGTAACTCAGTCAATATCCCAATGAAACCCAATAAATCAATTCAACTCTTTAATACCTACAGCCAGGGAAAACACAAATAAGAAAAATACAAATTGTAGAATAACATTACCTGAGTTGTTGACTGGGTTTAGTTCGACGACATGGGAGAGTGAAGCGGCCGGCGAAAATGTTGGCGGCTCAACCAAGTGCCCGTTGCTAGAGTTATTACCAATGAGAAAAAAGCTCAAATATTTTATTGAACTCCTAGAAAATTTTCATTTACGTCATTCGTTAAAAATATGACTTATTTATATCTTTACCATTTAAAAAAGGTTCATGCATGTTATTATTTTTAATAGTCGTTTTGCAAAATTATTTTTAACACGTGATAAATTATAATTCTACCACGTCATCAATTTTTTAATGAAAATTAAAAATATGAACTAAAATTGAATTAAATAACTCACCCAAATAAAATTAGGGATATTTTAAATTTGAATGGGTCTTTATTTGGGTGGGTTATTTTAATTCAATTTTTATTCATAACTTTGATTTTCTTTACAAAAAAATTAATGAAGTGACCGAATTATAATTGTTGACGTGTCAAAATGATTTTGTAAAATTATTGGTAAAAAATAATAGAATAAATGAGTCTTTTCTTAAATGGTAATGACATAGATGAGACAAATTTTTAAAAGATAACATAAATTATTTTCTGAAAGTTCGAAGGCATACTTAAGCTTTTTCCTTTAAAAAATTATGCATGAATGCCTTTTAAGAAATAATTACTAATTTTAGTAATATTTTTTTATTTTTTATTTATTACTTATCATTTATAGTAATACTATATTAAATTTGCAATATTTATTAAAAGTGAACTAAATATGAAATATATATGTACTATATTTGTATTTTTAATTTTTTTTAAGTAATTGATACATTGTATTATAAATATATTAAAATGTGTGATAAATGTATTATAAATAAGACTTGTATTATATGTGAATGATAAATTGTTTATTATTATATGTATTAATATTATACATATATTAAAAGCGATCAAATTAAAAAAATATTATTATTATAAATGATAAATATTTTTTATTTATAATATATTTATGCAAGTTTTCCTATTTATTATGCCACAATGATAACAAACTAATTACGCACATATTCTCTAAAAAATTGTTCTTTTTATTTTTCTCTTTTATTGATCCCTTTTATTTTTTTATTTTTATTTTATTTTTAAAAATGTTTATTTAATGTTCCTTTCTAATTCTTTTTATATTAAATCTTACAATTGAAATTTATAGCAACATTTTTAACGATTCATTATTATTAATATTATTATTGATAATAATAATTTTTTTTGAAAATTCTTTATAAAAAAAATTTATAATTTGACTTCAGAATTTTTTTTTTTTTAAAAATCTACATTTCAAATTCAGAACTTAGTTAATTTTAAAGTATAATAATTCAAAATTTAAATATTAATATTAATTATTTTGGAGATAAATTTGACTATCTTTGTTAAATTATAAATTTTGTAATAAATTAAATTGGTATTTTGTAATTAAAAAGAAAACAAATGGCAGTACTATCAAAATACAATTATTATTTTTTGAGATTTCAGATATTAATATTGAGAATCAATGAAAATGATAATGACGACTATTATTGGAAGTTAGATTAACAAGAATCTTTATTATATTTATATGAACTTTTTTTATATAAAACTAAATAATTTGACTTTAGTTTTTTTCTTAAATTTATATATATAGTACCCAAAAAATAGAATTTATTAATTAATTAAGATTATTTTTCAATATATAAAAAAATAACTTCCGATTATTTTTAAAAATAAAAATAAAAAATACAGGATCTAAGATTATGATGACCCCAAGTTAACCCTGAGTTGACATATCATAAGCATACTTAAATAAAACATTGAGTGAAAGCATAAGACATGAGGTAAACATAATGAAATCATGTATCACTTGCAACTTGTGATATATAATGTGTTGTAATATGATGATTTAAGTAATAATCCTCACATGTCATGTACTGGATACAAAATATGAGATTCACAAAATTCACAAGAAAATTTAATTTGCCAACAATATTTCACTATTATATCATTCATAACTCAAACCGTCCACCAAAAATTCTGAATATCTCAACAAAAATATGTATTTTCATCGTGCATTTTGAATCTGTTATAATTTGGGATAAATGGAGGAGAAGAATAATTAAATTTTGAATTCTCTAAATTTTTTACGGGTTGGAATAGATTGATATTAATTAGTTTTGCGTGATTCGTGGGATTGATAGTTAATTTTACATTTAGATACTTCATATCGAACTCTTCCTAGCATGCAATCCTCTCACATAAAGCTATTGTGAGACTCACTTAAGTAAGACAAAGAGAGACCACCCATACGCCCTCCACCTATAATGAGTTATACACACTCATAATACATCAACACATAGGTAATATGACATTTTCCTTCCAAAGGTTATCAAAAGACTTACTTAAGTAAATCAAGAATATAACGTCCATGATAGACTTCTTAAAGATTACCTAAATAATCCATGAGACTACCTAGATCATGTCCACATAATCAACATCTTCCCTTACTAGAGTCATTCTTAAGATTTATCTAGGTAAGATACGAAGTGACCATTCCTATGCCCCCTTCTCACCTTAACTAGACAACCCTTAACTACTCTAGATAAGTACTTATTTGTTTAAAATATTTTCTTAACTTAAATCATTTTACATTCATTTGTTCATCTAAGACTCATTCATCACATAAGAACATTCAAGTAAAGATCTTGGACAAGACCTAGGGACTCTAATGAACATCTTCAAAGCCTATTGTGCAATGTCTAGATAATGTCTCATAACACCACCTAAACCTCATAGAACTTTCCTAAAGCTAGTAGGTATCCCATGTGATGAGAATAATCAATAACCGACATATACCATGATAGCTAGACATGGAATCCGGAGTTTTAACCTACTCCTATGAGGGTGCTCTACTTGCAGTTGGTAGAGCTTGGACATATCCCATATAGGCACATGATTAAGGAATTTAAAGGCCATGCTTTGTATTCTAGTCTCATTCTTTAACTAAAAATACTTCCCTTATCATACTCCCTTGGTTCTAGCCTTTGTTCTCATAGAGTAAATTACATTAAAGGTGTATATAAAGGGGTTTCATGTCTAGTTCATAACCCAATCACATTTACCCTACAAAAGAGGTCCTCTAGGGCTACCTTACAATGACGATAAGAAGCTCATAATGACTTTCCTAAGGAATGATATAATGTCATTCCATCCAACCAACCTTAAGTCTATCATTCCTTTACTTGACGGATACCATTACGGCTTTCAACTTCAACATTCATAACCTTATCACTAGGTTCAAGCTTTCACATAAAGGACCCTCTTAACCTCATTTAAGGTCTCATTTCATTATACATACAATAATAAGAGGATTTAGCATCCTAAGTCAAGACATCTCATATTTACATTAATACATGCATCAAGTAATGGACACAAGTCAACCAAGACAAGACACAACATACTTCACTTTAACACATATTACATGTCATTCTAGAAGCACATAGAAACAAACATCATCAACTTTAATTCATCCTATACACAATCATTATCATAATCAATGTAACAATCATAGACTCATATAGTCTAGTAGAAATAACCATGCATCAACCCTAAGACTATACACACAAAGATATCGACATAGTCTAACATGATCACCTAAATAGTATCAATAGAAGAACACATATCCTTTCACATTACTTATCATATAGATACATATTATCCAACTTCACATAATCAACTACACAAATCATCATCATACTTCAAGTAGTGTCGACAAGGCCATGATCATCATATTACATAAAGTAACGCTGACAAGGTCACATCAATTGCAAGTAAAACACATAACACCGCCACCATAAGTGGACCATACCAATCACAACATAATTGAAGTCTAACTAACATAAAATAAAGGGAATTAGGGCAGCTTACCACCACTCCATCCTCAACAATTCAATCCAATGCTAAACCATCCAATTCAATACCATAAGACCCTAACCCATGGCCATAACCAACAATTCAATACATAATCAATAATATTCAATGAAACTAAGTCAATTCAATGTAGATTCATCAATATAAGACATACTAGATATTAATTCAATACAATTATTACATCAATCAATAGCCCATATAAAACTACGCTAGAATTCATAAGATCAATACTACTTAACCCAAAAATTAGTCAAAAACTAGGGTTCATCAATTACATGGGTTCATAGGTTAATTGAGTTAAAATCATATAATTAATAAAAATTCAATCAATATTCAATGCTTAAAAACCTTTAATGCAAGAACCTTTGCATAAACCATAAAATTGGACAATTTATTTTTGAAAACTTTAGAAAACATCTTCAAAAGTTGGGCTACTTGATGAATAGAGTTTCAAGGATCAAAAATCATACCTCAATGAAGCTAATTCTGCAATTTGATGAAGAATATCCACGAAATTATCCAATCCAAGCTCTTCCTTGAGTTTTATCTCCAATGGAGTTCGAGAGAATTTCTAAGGGAATTTGGATTTTGATTTTGAAGAATGAGATCTTCTAAGTATTTTAGGATTATAAACATATTAAAATATCCTAAAGACCCCTCAGTAACCTCCCTTTCTCTTATTTGTACGTGGGTTGAATTTAAAGCTTCACCCCTCAAACTTAAAGTGAAGCTGCACAGGAGCTTAAAAGACGGAGGGACCATCGACGGCTCGTCCTTGACAAATGAACCGCTCTGCTGGTCTGTCGTCTGAGACTGAGGATGGTATTTGGGCTCTCCTTCCCCACACTAAGTGTTCATCGACGAGACATCACCTACGGGGCGTCGACTGACACATTGGGCGTCGATTGCCATCCGTAGGTGGGCTTTCTTGGGCAGTCTTAGCCACCAACATGGGTCCTTCATCAAGGACTCTTTGATGGTCCTTGGGGATGTTTGCCATGACGTTTCCAACCCAAACATACTTTTATATGAGTTTAGGACCTCTCACATGAATTTTATCAAAAACGAACACATAAAACTCGATGAAACACGCATAGACACACAAAATCATTTCAAGGCAAACATTTCGAATGTCATGGATGTTCTTGAATGTTTGACCTCCAAA